ATTTGAATTTGATATCTGATGATTTTGTGCAAGATATTTTCAATATTAGTAATAGTTATCTCAAACTAATTAGAATATTTAGTAATATTTTCAGATTCGTTCACAATTGTAAAGGTAAAGACCGCTTTACAGGTCCACTAAGTAAGGAGGAAATTCAAGAAGGTAAGATCAAATTGCTTAAGATGACACAAAGGTCAGTTTTTGAGAATGAGATTAAAACGCTTCAGAAAGGAAAATGTATCACAACAGGTCAGGTGAGAAATTTAAATTTGTTTATTGATGACAAAGGATTAATAAGAGTAGGTGGACGCTTGACAAATGCCAACATTGACTATGATTCAAAACATCAAATTTTGCTTCCCAAAAAGCATAAGTTAACTAAAATGATATTTGCTTACTACCATTTAAAAAATCTTCATGCAGGGCTGCAAGCTTTATTGCATTTTATTCGCCAAATTTATTGGCCCATGGGTGGAAAAGATATTGCTAGAAAAACAGTTCATGACTGTTTAATTTGTTTTCGCCATAAATCTACTAATTTAGAGCAATTAATGGGAAACTTGCCCGCTGAACGTGTAACTCCTAATTTAACTTTTAACAATACAGGGGTAGACTACTGTGGCCCCTTCCTTATTAAGTACAAGAATCAAAGAAAAGGAAATTTACATAAGGTGTATGTTGGTATTTTTATTTGTTTAGTTACTAAAGCCATACATTTAGAAATTGTCTTTGATTTATCTGCCCAAGCTTTCATTGCATGTTTGAAACGCTTCTTTTCTCGAAGAGGGAAAAGCTCTTGTATTTTTAGCGACAATGCTACTAATTTCACTGGTGTTAATACAGAGTTAAAGAAACTTGCATCACTTTTAACATCTCCTAATGAATATTTAGCTAACTACTTATCTTCAGAAAATATCTCATGGAAGTTTTTGCCCCCTCGTGCCCCAAATTTCGGAGGTCTATGGGAATCAGGAGTTAAGTCATTCAAACATCACTTGAAAAGAACTGTTGGTAATGCTAGACTTAATTATGAAGTAAATTTCAACCATTGTAGTGATTTAATGAAGATTTTGTTTCTTTCGTTAAGGATTCAATTCCTCTCATGTTAGTTGATTTATTGTGTTCGTGTTTTCTAATCTTTATGTATTTTATTTTTACTTGTTATGTCATAATTATTTGTGTGTGTCATTTAAAATTTGAACAATTAAGTTGAATATCATGGATATTGCAACGCGAGCCGGTATGTTGCTACGCCCGTTGGCTTCTTGGCGT